ACAAATGCGCTTTACACAATTGATGTATGTATGGATTATGATAAGAGTTGTATGAGCCCCTAACAAAATAATTAGAAAAAATATATATAGAAAATACAGAATAGGTTAATGCAAAAAATAATAATAATATAATAAATTTTAAAAATAGGTCAAAAAAAAAGAAACAAATACAATGTATGAAATATTGTTGGGAATATGCTTCAGCGACCTCTATTTAAAATAAAACCTGTTTCCTATTAATCCCGAGTAAATAAGAAAAGTTTTATATTCTGGTTTCTTTCACAGATATGAGTAGCCAAAGAGTCACTCTACAACTCATTGTCATGATTGTCCACTCATAAAAACCCTATAGGACAGAGTAGAACTGCCTCTGGGGGTTTCCAAGACTGTAAATTGTTAGGGGAGTAGAAAGCCTCATCTCTTTCCCACTGAGCAGTTGGTAGATTTGAACCTTGAACTGCTAACCTTGTAGCTTCCCAAGGTGTTGCAGGTAAAAGAGATAAAATGTGGAAAGCCAGAAGGACTGAGAGGGCTCCACCGAGAAACCAGATAGAGCACGATGTTGATACAACACCCCTAGATGAAGGGGTATGAATCCACGAAGCCAGCCTCCAGCTAACTGAAAAAACTCAAAAGGTTTGCTAACGAAATTAGATTCTGGAACCATGGGAGACACCTTAAAACATACATCATTTTGAATTAAAAGTATATTGTTAAAGTCATCACATATAATTAAACTCTACATTTGCATTCTATGAAAACATATGCAAAAAACCTTGCAAATATAAGAACATTTGTTTCTCTACTGATCTTAAAATGCTAAAAATCTATATAACAAAATAATTTATGCAAAACTACTTAGAATATGACTTCACTCAAACAAATGAGGCATCCATTGCATGGATGACTCTTGGCTACAAGTTTTTCTTATAGCCAGAGGTTTTCACACTTCTGTTACTAACTGCCAGAAGTGTGTGAACTCAGAGTTCATACATGTAAACAATACAAATTTTGTCTTAACTCAGTGCCTTAAAAAAATTATTGCACCTGCTTTATTGAACTTGTTAAATGTGCTATATATTCACATTTGGTGTCATTATTGCCCATTTTAAACTACTTGTTTCCACCTGATGGTCTTTTGGAATTGGTTGTACAACATCTGATTGGAGTTTCAGCACTTCTGGTCCACCAAATTCAAAAACTCTAATAGCTCTCATCAACTTCTGTCCAGTTGCCATGGGGATCTAGATACTTAAAAAAAAAAAAATCAATGTATTATCATATTCTATCTAGACTGTCACTGTGTTTTCTCCCTTGGAGGAAACAGATCAAATAATGTCTTAAACAACAATTTAAATCATGAGCCTACTACTGATCTCATTTCATGTTTAAAGACCTTTCATGTTACAAATCCTTCAGCTACAAAGCAAAATACTTCATACTCGTCCTGTAGGGATTCAGTGCCTTCAACAAGAAAATCAAGCACACAAACAAAAACATCTGGATAGAAACCCTACAGCTTAGGTATCCTTTTGTGCACACTTCAGCTACAATTTCTTGGAAATTTTCGGAATTAATGAAAGTTATAGTTGATATTAGATGGAAAAAAATCTCCTTTTGTCCCATTATTATTTTAAATGTAGAAATTTTTTTAAAAAGAGCAAACAAACAGTTACATACCATCTAGCTTTAACAAAACTCAGCATTTTAATACCTAAAATTTTATAAAATTGAAATGCCCATGGCCATTCCAACAACTCTTCCACAGGAGAAAGCTGAGGCAGGCTGCTCCCATAGATTCACCGGCTGGGAAACCCTACAGAAAGTCAGTATGCGTTGGACTTGGTTGGATAGCTGTGGGTGTGCTCATCCTCAAGGAGTCCTGGTGAAGCAGTGGCTAAATGCTCAGCTCAGTGACAGGGGAAATGCACTAAAAATGAAAACCCTTGATTTGTGTATGTAATCTTTTGTAAAGTACAAGATTAAGCTAGCCTTTCTATCTTACTGCTATTAATATTAAAATGAAAAAAAACCACCTCAGAATTAAAAATAAGCTCAAAGGCAAAAAAAAATTACCTATAAACTTACATTTGCTGCAAAACCAAAAGTCAATGCCATTGAGTCGATTCCAACTCAAAGCCACCCTATAAGACAGGGTAGAACTGCCCCTGTGGTTTCCAAGTTTGAAACTATTTACAGGAATAGAGAACCTCATATTTTACCCACTAAGCAGCTGCTGGATTTGAACTGCTGACCTTATGGCTAGAAGCCCAACACATAACCACTACACCACCAGGGCAGGACCAATAGTAATGTAATGAAAGGATTTATATAACTATATCTCCATCATCTTGTTTAAGGGTTATCATAATTTGTTGAAGTTAACCACCTTAGATAATATTAGACTTTGCCACCACCTAAAACATCTTTGCTACCTGTGGAATTATCATATTGACCAACCACAAACAGCTTTGCTACCTTGTGGAATAATCATATTCACCAACCACAAGCAGCTTAAACATCAGAAAGGAACAAGGACCTGAAAGGAAAGAATTCTGGATTCTATTATATTGGAGTTTGGCACAGGATGACTCAGAGCAGTGACCATGCCCATTACCACTTATTCTATGTACAAGGAGAAAGTAAAACATGTTAGCGTATTATTAAAGGGAAGCTCTTAATATGATTAATCAGAAGTTTGTATCATTTTAAAACCCTGTATTTAAAATCAATTTGATATTAAATTGATTGACAAAAGGATAAAGTAAAATTTCCAAAGGTTGGAGGTCACAGCTGGAACATTGAAGGACAAAATCAGGGAGTGGGTATATGTGAAACTGTGAGGGAAAGGACAGAGGAGCTGGGAAAAGCCCCTGAAAAACATTCTCCAAATAAAGAATAATTCGACTGATGAACTTCAGTAAAATTTACTAATTCAAGGACCCATCAAATATAGAACTCTCTCCTACCTTGTGCATGTGTGGTGGGGGGAAATGGCCTAAAGAAACCTTGCTCCTTATTATTACAAAAATCATACCCGTTGTTAACTGCAAGCTCAGCAGTTCAAAACAACCAGCTGCCCAGTGGGTAAAAGAAAAGGTTTTTCACTCCTATAAATAGTTTCAAACACAGAAACTCACAGGGGCATTTCTACCCTGTTCTATAGGGTCCCTATGGACCAACATCGACTGGATGGCAGTGAGTTAGTGCCACGATAGTTTACCATCACTTAGGAGAGCACCAGGCCACTTCTGAGTAGACTGAATAAGGGAAAGTGAGGAATGGACCCCAAACTATCAGACATTCCCCCCCCCAATGCTCCCTAAACAATCATGAATATCCCTCCCCTTAGTTCTTGTACATTTGTAAAATTAGAATAAATATCTCTGCACTGTACCACCTGAGGTTGTCTCCACTCCGCAGAGACTGACTTCTTGGGCAGGTACTTTCTCTTTGAAATAAATGCTTAACTGAGTCAGACCCTGTGCCTGTGTGATACTTTCCTTCTGCAATTGGCCCCATGACTCCCCGATTCTTCAAAGGAAAGTGAAATGGGAGGCCAGGGACAACTGGAGAGGATAACAGAACTGCTCCATAGGATTTTCAAAGGAGTGAATGCTTCCAGAAACAGATTGCCAGGTCATTCTTCCAAGGTGCTTCCGGGTGGCTTCAAATAGCCAACTCTTTGATTAGCAGTTGAGTGCCGAATCATTCGTGTTATCCTGGGACTCCTAATATCTATCGGTTGTTTTTAGTTAGTTACCAGAGTCAATTCCAGCTCTTGACTGCCCCATGTGGTCACGGCAGAACTGTTTTTCAGACTGTGGCCGTTCAGCCAGGAACCCTGCTGGTGTAGTGGTTATGATTTGGGCTGCAGTTCTTATGGTCAGCAGTTCAAAAACCCCATCAGCTCGAAGGGAGAAAGACTGGGCATTCTACCCCCATAAACAGTTATAGTCTTAGAAACCCATGGGACTGTGCGGTGGGGGGGCGGGGGGTCACTGTGAGTCAGCATTGACTCCATGGCAGTGAGTCTGAGTTTTGGTAACCATTCAGAAGTAAGTCATTAGGCCTGTCTTTAGAGACAGCTCTGCTAATAGTCAATCACACCCTTTTACATCACTCAGGGATACAACACGCACATCTATCCAATAGTCATAACTATAATCCTCAAAAAGTATAGAAATAATACCAAATGCACGCACTGGGATAAGCTGTTGACCTTGTATCTAACACACAAACTCCCACCCCCTACATTCTGGCATCCACTATGTTGGGAAAAGGAATAAAGGAAGGAAACATCCTTAAACTGGATTTCAAAGACCTACCACTTTGTCACTCTGCTCTATGGAGCCTATAAAGAGACATACCTTTATAGCACTCTCTCCTACTTTGTTTCTGCTGATCCTATTTCTCACTGAGCCTTTGCCACTATGACTGATCAGGCTCCGGTTTGTACTCATGGTCTTTGAATCCCCTCAACTACCTACCAGACCATCATAGCTTGATAATACAGAAACAATATCAGAGGATAATCAAAAAGGGTAAAATTATAGGGAACCTATTATTGTACAGTATCAGTTTTAAACTCCTATAACACCTGATTTCTTCTAAAAAGCACTAGTCCTCATTGACATAATTATTTTAATAACAGATAGTGAAGCAAAAGTTATTATAGCCACAATTCATTATGTATATAAATGAAACTATTAGCCATTTTATGGATAAGAAAACAAACAGCAAGAGGCTAAGTGATTTGCTAGAATCACATATAAGCAGAGCTAGAACCAATGTCCTATACTTTAAATGTTGTTGTTGTTATTGTTAGGTGCCATATAAAGACCCTATACACAACAGAATGAAACACTGTCAGGCCTTGTACCATCCTTACAATTGTTATGTTTGACTCTATTGCTGAAGCCACTGTGCCAATCCATCTCATTGATGGTCTTCCTCTCTTTTGCTGCCCCTCTACTTTACCAAGCATGATATCCTTCTCCAAGGACTGGTCTCTCCTGACATCTAAAGTATATGAGACAAAGTTTCACCATTCTTTACTCTAAGAAGCACTTTATATGTTGTGAGCTAATGTTATTTCCTTTACTCTATCAACCTTTTCTTCAGCTCATCCTTTGACATAACGGAGTAGAGTACATTTGATCAAAAGGACCTTTAATTAATCTTGAGAAATTTTATTTCTTAGAAAGATAATCTACAGTGATAATAATGATGTAGATTTAAAAATCTGACATTAAACTAATCTTTCAAAACAAACAAACAAATACTGCTGCCAAGATGATTCTATCCTAGGAGATCCCATAGGAAAGAGAAGAACTGTTCTACTTGGGTTTCTGTGGATATAAATGTCTACAGAAGTTAGTCTCATCTTTCTCCCAAGGCAGCTGGTGGATTTGAACTGCTCATCTCTCAGTTAGCAGCCTGATGCCTAACCCACAGCACTACCAGGGGTCTGTAATCGGCAGGTCGGATCACCATTATTTTATGACTAAGGCATCTTAGAGTTTGATATTTCTCAAATGCCAAGGGATCTACTAAAGATACAGAGACCATGATGAGACCCAGGAAGTTCATTTCCTGACAAATAGGAATAACAATCCCTTGGTATAGAGTTCTTATGAAGTATAACTGCAACAGAATATATAAAGTGCATTATTCATAGCATGCAGAAGGCTGAAATGACAAGGAATTTTTATTAGAAACTATTATTTAGACAAAATAATTTATGGTGAGCAGGCTTGTCACATTGTTCTACTTCGAATAGGTTCTTCTATTTATCAAATATAAACTTTAAAAAAATAAAGATGCCTTGGTTTAATTTTTCTTTTAATTCTTTACCTCTGATAGGTAGCCAACCACACGTTGTGACTCTAGGAAATGTGAAATTTAAAGTTCTTCCTCAAGCAGTGACTTTTTACCAGACTACGTCTGAATCCATTGGGCTAGATGAAAATTAAGGTATAGGAAAAAAATTGGAAATATATTTTAACAGAATAAACAGGTCAATTCACAATGCCAGAGCAGAGCGAAAGCACATTTTGAGATATGAGCAGAAGTAAAATTATAAATAAAAATTTGGGGCAAACAAAAAATAAAATTATGCATAAAAGTGTGGGGCAAACAAAAAACCCTGAAAACGTGGAAGGAAACGGAAACAATAATTACAAAACGTGCTACTGTTGCCCCCAAATGACTTGTATTTGGTGAACTCAGAAATGAAAAAAAAGATAAACTCTTCAATGGCCAGAGTGTCTCTTCCTGGCATTGTGGCTTCGTCAAATTACATCTGGACCCTCACTAATAACGAGATCTACAGGGACAGGCACATCCAGCCCAGCGTTAGGAGAGCCCCAAGACCTCTGCTACTAAACTTGCCAGGGCTGCTGTGTCCAACACTCCCTGGCCCCACAGTGGGAACCACGCTGTGCAAGCTCTGGTTGGATTGCTAACCGCCAGGCAGTCCAGACCTGCCAGCGGTGTTTAGGAGTTTTAAGTCATCAGGAGGCAGTGGGTTAGGGTTTAGTGGGCGAGTGGTCCACGCGATTGCCTTTATTGATTGCTTTTAGGTGCAGCCAGGGAGTGGGCCCAAGGCGACTCTAGAGGACAGTAGAACTGATCCATGGAAAACAGTGGGCAGGTCACCTGAGCAGTTCTCCCGCGGAGCTGGTGGTGGCCTCAAATCGAACCGCTAACCTTTGAGCTGAACGCTTAACCAATTCAGCCTTTCCAAGGCTTAATCATCAACACACTTTCTCGGGTCACTGAGATGAGCCTTCTGGAGAAATCAGTAAACATTCAAAATGTGCCAGCTGGTATTTTGCCATGTTTCACCTCCTTGAACATGGGTTCTGGGAGGAAAAGGTCAGGAAGAGTAAGATTTGCAACTCTGGTCAGGACACTTTTGGCAGATGGGTCGGAGAGCCCCACGACCCCGGAGAGTGCGGGGCCTCCGAGCAGACACGCCCCCACAGCTGATTGGTGGGCAGCGGACACGGGCTGGGAACCTCGGGTATGGTCGCAGGGGAGGTCAAGTTGCTGGGTGGGGAGAAGTGCGC